TTGGTTAAAAATTGTCAAAATAGAAATGGTTGTTCAAAATGGAAAGAAGCCATATAGGCGAAATTGAATTCTTTAGGGAAACGAAAAATGTTTGAACTAATCGTTCGAACACCTGAAAATATAATTCATGCTGGATATAAATGAGTTTTTGTACAAAAAAGAAATGATAATAATGAAATTACAAGATACAAAGCCCGACTCGTAACTCAAGGTTTCTCACAACAATCAGGAATTGATTATGAGGAAACATATTCTTCCGTAATGGACATTATCACTTTTAGATTCTTAATTAGTTTGATCGTGTCACAAAAGTTTGATATACGCCTTATTGATGTAATAACTGCCTATTTGAACAGTTCACTTGATAGTGATATATATATGAGAGTTCCCAAAGGACTTAAAGTGCCAAGAACGAATGATACATACCCGAGAATCATGTTCTCAATTAAATTGTAAAGATTATTATATGGATTTGATGCGAACCCCGTAGCAACGTTGACTATGAAACCCACAACGAGATTGACGAACCCAAGAAAGTCAAATTAATCCAAGAGTTTAGGATTAACCCAAAAGAAAGTCGAACAAAAAAATCCAACAAGAACGACGATTGAAAGACCCCTTGATCATGCAATCCAAGAATTAAATTCGATTATTTGAACGCCACAAGTTATCATTTGATAAGTTTGAAATTGTTCAATAAAGAACGATGAAGAGAAGACAATACGCCTCACTTTAATTCAATATCAATAATATTAAAGGTTTTTTTTACAATTGAATAAAAATTTCTATTTATACTAAACCCTAGAATAGAAGTCAAAAGGAAATATAATTCTAATAATCTAACAAAATCCCTAAAATATTCGTCCAATATGGTAGGAGTTTGATTAAGAATGAAATTCTAGTAAAATAAGAAAAAACGCGGAATAAAGGAAAATCGCGCCCAGAAATCAACTATGCTGTCGCATGGTTATAACTCGTGCGGCCGCATGGTAATAAAATTTCGGCCATTGAATTCTCGGCTTCATGTCATGCGGTCGTACCATGCTGTCGCATGGTTATACGGCCCACTCTCTTCTTCGACTGCTTGTAACGCATTGATCCATTTAGTTTCAGCCTTCGACCCGAACACGAAACTTGTCCCATTTTGAGTCTCGAACATGGTTCCATCAATAGTTTCTTGAACGAGCAATCCCATCGCTTGTTTCACTTATTTTGCTCTCGATCGCGTCATCGATCCTCCTTCGATTATCAATGGGTCTCGTCTCGCACTTGCCTTTTTCTGGCTCGGCTCTTGGATCACATCAGGATTAAAACAATCCGAACGTATGTGGTATGATCGCTTTAACGAATATTTGTTGAAAGAGGGTTATAAAAATGATGATATATGTCCATGTGTTTTTATAAAGAAAACAGATATTGAATTTACAATTGTGACAGTTTATGTTGATGATTTAAATTTAATTGGAACTCTAACGAGCTCAACAAAATTGTAGATTATCTGAAAAATGAATTTGAGATGAAGGATTTGGGAAAAACTAAATTTTGTCTCGGATTACAGGTTGAACATTTCGCAAATTGATTATTTTTTCATCAATCTACGTATACAGAAAATTTTTTAAAAACGTTTTTATATGGATAATGCACATCCATTGGCACCACTTATGGTTATTCGATCACTTGATGTGAAAAAGATTTATTTTGTACACTTAAAGATAGAGAAAAAGTTCTTGGTCCTGAAGTACCATATCTTAGTGCAATTGGGACATTAACTTATCTTACAAATTGCACTCGACCCGACAAAGCTTTTTCTGTGAATTTCCTTACAAGATATAGCTCTATACCAACTCTAAGACATTGGAATAATGTTAAACATATTTTTTCGTTACTTTAAGGGCACAATTGATTTGAGATTATCTTTTTCTCAAAAGTCAGGATTTGTTTTAGTGGGATACATAGATGCAGGGTAGCTATCTCACCTACATAAAGCTAAATCACACCAGGTTATGTATTTACATGCGGAGGAACAGCTATATCATGGAAATTTGTGAAGCAATCCTTGATAGCTACATCCTCAAATCATTCTGAAAGTATTGCAATCCATGAAGCAGGCCGAGAATGTGTATGGTTGAGAAACATGACCCATCATATCCAAATATCATACGGGTTAACTTCAATAAAAGATAGTCCAACAATTTTGTATGAAGATAAAGTAGCTTGTATTGCACAACATAAAGAAAGCTATATCAAATATGACAGGATGAAACATATTTCTCCAAAAAAATTTCATATACATGAGCTTAAAAAAATGACGACATCGATATTCAACAAATTCACTCAACTGACAATGTACCAATATTCACAAAAATATTGCCAACATCTACATTCAAGAAATTGGTTCAAATGATTGAAATGTATCGACTCAAAGATTTTCAGTAATTTTCATCAGACGGAGTAGCTGTAATCTTTTTCCTTAATATAGGTTTTGTCCGATTGAGTTTTCCCAACAAGGTTTTAATGAGATAACATTTTCTTTATACTCCAAATTATTGACAATCAACTGTACTATTTTTCCTTTGTTTGATTTTTTTCCCACTAGGTTTTTATTAAACAAGATTTTTAACGAGGCAATTATTGTATAAATAATTATCGAAAGGGAATTGTTGTAAAATAATGAGATAATTATTAATGATTATTTAGTGTTATCGTGATACATAGATAAGTTTTATTTAGTTTAGAAGATCTATTTTATTTCAATTGTAACTCTTATTTTGGACCCTATAAATATAAGGAATTGGTTCATAATAATACGCAATTGAGTTTTGGCTCTCTACTTCTTCTCTTATTTTCTCTCTTCCTTTTAGTTTTATAACATACAATACTTTTTAATTAGTATAAAGAAAAACTATGATATTAGAAAATATTTCTAGAAAAGCAAAATATTAGTTAAACTTATTAATAATTTTGAATTTATATTTAAACTTAGTTTAACAAACATATATCTTCGGATTAGTAGTCTGAACTATGCCAATTTAACCTCGTTTAATAGTCAAATTGAGTGAACTCCACTTAGTTAGATCGAAGTGGAAAAAAAATGAATACGATATTAACATTATCTAGCACCAATAATATTTAACACCAATTTAAGTGATAATTTTTAACTTGTCCTATTAAATGAACATTAAATCCTTACATTTAATTCCTACGATTAAACACCTCAAGTGTTGTGTTTACTACCCATTAGCGTGTTACATTAACTTAACAACTTTAGTTTATGTCTCATTTTACACTACAATTGTGTCGTTGCCAAAAGTTGTTGATTACTTCTATATGAGCATTTTCAAGAAACTCTATTCTTAAGGTGCATATTCTATCATTAGGAGAGCAATTATAAATTTAGAGAGTTAAAATTTTGAAATACTTCAACAAGTTCTTTATATTTAACACTTAATTTTACTACTTCCAAAATATATTTATTATTTTTCTCTATATTCTATTTTAACTAACTTTTGTCGATATTATTTTATTATTTTCCTAAATTGAAAATTGAAACGATTTGAATGCATTTAATTATAGAGAATGAGTTTGGAGAGCCAAACCCACTTTTTAAATTAAAATATTAATTTAAAGAGTATCTTGGAACATGATTTTAAGGGTTGAATCTTTAAAATAAGAAATATGCTACTTGTATATAATGCAGAAACACCCTGATGTACGTGCAACATCATCTTTAAAATAATTTGGAGAGTCAAACCCACATTCTAAATTAAAAATGTTAATTCAAAGAGACTATTGGAAGATGATTTTAAGGGTTGACTCTTTAAAATAAAGAGCATCTAATATTTAAAAAGTCTCTTAAAGATGTTCTAATGTTTCAAGCCCTTTTTCACGTTCTACTTTGAAGCATCTTTCTCAATTATTTATGGATTCCTTCGCCTGTAAGCATTTAGGGATAATGTGTGGGAGAATATACAAACGGATTCTTTCACATACATAAAGTAGAACTTTAGTTAAAAAGCTTTCAACATGCATGCATGAATGTAATCGACAATATCTTTTTCCGAAGAGAAGTAAAATAATAGTATCCTTGTGCATATCCTTGGATATGCTGTCTTTCATTCAATTATATTCATATTATTTGGTGGGTGTTGAACAATTTAATATGTTGCTACTAGCTTGCAAGTTAAACTCTTATTCCTTATGATTTTGTAATAAGAAAGCCTTATTTACAAAGTATCTTGATTGTGTATTCCTTCTTTATCAATACTTGCGAAAGTCGAATGCTAATTGGGGCTGTAATTTTAGATATAGCTCGAGGACCTACTTCACGAGATCTTTGGTATGCATTTTCAGTTGTAGAAATGAGTGGTGATACTAATGAAAGATGTAATATTCTTTGACTTTTAGAAAGACTATAAAATAATGGACCATAAAGAGTCAACAAAGTATCTAACTAGACGTATGATCACTTGAAACGCAAAGAGGGCACAGGGGATATAGCCAGAGACGGACGGAGAGAGGGGGGTTGGGTTGGGCTGTAGCCCCCCCACACTCATGCTCAAGAGCTTTTTTTTAAGTATTTTTTATTTTTTTTTGTAAAAAAATCAATTTTTTATGTGTAAATTTTTTTTCTTCGTCGTAGTCCAGTTTGAAATTTTGTAACCCGATTTTGGATTCAATCCTTGATCCGTCCTTGGATATAGCGCTTAATTATTAATTTACATTTAGCTTCCATTGACTTGATTAATTTTTTCATTGTAGACATGTTTTCTCCTAAATTCGTAATCTGTTTTATTCTCTTAATCTTTTAGTCTCTTTTAACCAGTTAGGGATTGGTTTCAATGTTCTTTTCAATTATGAATGATAAATTATTTTTAAAAAAAAATGTGGTAACAACGAAAGAATTTTAAATTTCTATCATTAGCTTGCATGTACGTTTTACCCAGTTATATGAATCTTTTGGTATACATATGTACGTGTATTGGAAGTTTGAAACACGAATATGTATCTTTGCATCATTTAAATATTATAAATGCATGCCTTTACAAAAAGAATAGACCATTTCTTCACATTAGACAAAATAAAGTGGAGATGGGTGGAATCTTAGTAGCTTCCTCTTTCCCTTCTCTTTTTTAAGTTTTGTATTGGCGTCCATTCTCCTAGCTCACATCTTTTTCAAAAAGCATCCTTTTGAATACAAATCCAAATAATTTTTTTGCAGAAAAGATAGGCAAAGATGGAAAGGCAAGTTGATGTCCACCATGAAAATATGGCAAGCAAAAAAGGTTATCAAAAGTAGCAAATCCTAGCTAGAAATTTCTTGAAGATTTTGTTATTTCATTTACCTGCAAAAAGCAGAAGTTTCCAATTAATTATTTAATCAAGTATTGTTAGAATATTACTGAAATAATTTAGATGAAGAAAAAACAATATAAGTAGTTTGTATCTAATTACCATTTCCCACAAAGAGCCTTCTAATGAATACCAAGAAGATGATGAATAAAGCCATCCCAGCTAACAGTCCAATTATTATAGCAAATGTTTTCTCGCCTTCATAGTTGGACGAATCTGCAAAGAAAGAAGGAAAGACCCGTGAAAACTATCCATATGCATATATATGATGAATGAACATATACATGCTGAATAGTATTAAAGAAGAAAAGGTCCAAATCTTGTTTTATATAACGTTCAATTCTATCGTATCACATATACGGTAACTTCAATTCCTAAGGTGGGCGTGACACAATTTCACAAGGCGGAACTTAACTAGCCTAGAAGGACTTAAAGGATTTGAACCACCCATTGTTTTTCATAAAGTCGACGAGTTGAAGCTAATTTATATATGGTACATATTGGTCCAGGATTATAAGAACTCATAAATGGTCCAAAAAATAAATTGATGAAATGACAAAAAAAGAACATTATTTCTTCTTGTATTTTCTTTCCTAGCCTACCATGTACCAAAGTTCTAAGCATGCATAATAATCATAACATAAAAATAAGCACTTTTTGGCTCAAGAGTTGCTTAAATGTACCATGGTTGGATCTTGCATAAACATGAGCTCCACTGGTTGAGTACCTAGCATAGCACTTGGCCAAAAACATGTCCCCAAAAACCGCGCCACCGCACTCACCTTTCAGCCGCCTAATCGCCTCCGTCAAACAATCCTGGCACTGGTCCATACTCAAATCCCCCACACATTGCGCCACCCCCTGAACATCCTCGGCCCCACCCACCCTGTAGGTCCCACCTCCTTCATTCAAGCCTGCTAGCACCGCATCACGGCGGCTCATTTCATCATCATTAAAACCATCGGACGGTCCACATTTCTTCATCACAGCAGTCTTGTCCTCCACCCCTATGAACGTAGCATTGTCATATTTCACAAAGCACCCTTCCAACTGTATGGATCCACCGCATGTTTGCGAGCACAATGGGCCGAGTCGAGTCACTGCTTGAGCCACGCAGGTGGCGCAATCAGGCATGGCTAAGTCACCTCGACATTGGTACAGGCCGTATACTATGTCCTGTGGGCTTGACCCCATGACAGTGTACTTGTTGTAGGAGGAGTAAGTGGCTGAGTTCACTAGGGAAGTGAGGAGAGAGTTGAGGTTCGAGTCATATGGTGAGTCTGGTGAGTACTTTATCTGTGAGCAGCCACCATAGACGAAAGAGTTCAAGGAGCTGGTATGAGCAAGCATGAAGAAACTAGAGAAAAAATAAAGGAACGTTAGGCTTTGAAGAAGATGATGAGCTGTTTTTGCCATTTTTAGAGTGAGAGATATGTTATCGGAGGTGCAAATCAACCGCGATCGACAGTTGTGTACGTCGATCTGAGAAGTTTTATATGCCCTTCGTGTCTTCTTTGAGTGCTAAAAGAATGGCCTCATCAACGAGTATTTAAACAAAAAATAGCCCTTTTAAATAAAGTCATTTAACAATAAATTTAGACCTGCAAACTTTTTCCTGGAAAAGAAATTTTATGTATACGGTACCTTAAGGACGAATTCAGGGGTCAAGTTCAGTTAGAACGGATCGTGAGCGTTAAAAATTTACTATTGATGGCCAATGTCCGTGATAGCGAGATTGTTTACTAATATTTAATTAAATAATATTCGAAAAATCATATGGATTAGAACTAGAAGAACTAGATATATTACTAGAATTAGAACTAGATACAAACTTTCATTTTGGATGAAAAAATCGTTCCATAATATATAAAATGTTCTAATTTATTTTTCAATTAAGTAGACAATATATATTAACAAAATGCCAATATTCAGTTTACAATTAAAGTTAATTAAACAAGCATTATTATATTAACACAATTATAATTATTTATATGCTTGTATCAATTTTATGTACTTGTATGATTCCACTTTTTCGCAATCGATTTTTGGTGAATAAAAAGTGGAACATTTCATTAATTAAATAAATTTTGTTGAAAGAGTTCTTATGACACTAAGGCTAATTTTCCTACAAATTCATCCACCATTAATTAACCAAACTCTCAAATCAATTGATTAAAGGAAAAAAAAGAAAAAAAAAAGAAAATCAAAAAGAGGGAAAAAGCACCGGTTAAAATGTTTCTACTTGCATTAAATTAGTAAAATTGAACATATATTAATTTGTTATATTATGTGCTAAAAATCAATAAATCTCATGATAGTAAAGTGATCAATATATTTTAAGGAATGTGCAAGTTCAAATCAATTTCCTTGCATTTGTTTTGTTAAAAATTGTTGAAATACAAAAATTATAAAAAATATTATTTTTGAAGAGTTTCAAACACTGGACCTCCAATTCAATTGTATAAAGGCTAACCAACTAAACTAATAGAGATATTTGTTGTTAACATGAATTATTAAATATATAATCTAAAAATTATATCTATTATCAGAAAAAATTTCCCCGACGAATCTAGCTAGGGTGGTCAGTAAAAATTGTTGAAAAACAAAAATTATAAAAAAATATTGCTTTTGAAGAGTTTTGAACACAAAACCTCCAATTCAATAGTAGAAGGGCTAACTAGCTAAGCTACAAAAGATGTTTATTGTTAATATGAATTATCAAATATATAATCTAAAAATTCTATCTATTATCAACAAAAAAAATTTCTTCATGACGAATATAGCTTGCCACCACCTACCTTTTCCTTAGCCCTTATTATTTCAATTTTTATTAAAGTGGTCATTTGTGTATATAAGAAATTATGGGTTAAGGTGTGTTTTTTAAGCAATCTAACAAGGACCCGTTGTTTGTTTCGGATTGATACAAGTTAATTGGAAGAGAAGATTTGGAAAATGGAAGGAATATGAAGCATGTGTAAAAATGTAAAGAATGTTCAAAAATGCGTATAAGTTTCTACTCGGTTGTCAGATTCTCGTCCATGAGTACAATTCGAAAACGTCTTTTAATTCTACACAAGTTTGTCGAAATAATATGTCAAACTTTTGGGGGGAGGGGTTCAAAATCAGTTGTTTAGGGGTCCATATTTGAGTTTTTATATTTTTAATTGATTTAAGGGTATTTTGGATATTTGTAATATTTTAATTTTATTCAGATTTGTTTTGTGGTTTTCTAGTCTATTTGAATGTGTTTAGAATTAGAGTTTTGTTTTGATAAGAGTATATTTTATGTCTATAAAAGGCTCATTCATTGTACAATAAAGACATTAATTTTTTAGAATTAATCATAATGTGAAAATTTTCACTTTCTATCTTATTCTTAATTGAACAGAACTTATCAAATATTTTCAATATTTGTGGCGTTCAAATTATCCGAACTTATCCAAGATTCATATGAAAGCCCAAGAACAACTAACCACTCAAAAAGTGTTTTGATTGAAAAACTTTAGTTGAGATAAATGATTTTTCAACTTTTGATCACTCAAAAAGTTTTTCAATAAATGAATGATTTGATCTTTAAAAGAGTGAAAAATAAGGTTGAGAGAATCAATAAAATACTTTACTTAATGCTCATGAACAGTTTAGTTGAATAGTGAAGAGAAAGTGATATTTATAGCTCTTAAAGATCTTCCTAACGTTCAAGACGCCCCACCAGACAAGGGTACTGGAGCGTTTGGTACGTATCGGACAAGGCTATTAGCCGTTTGTGAGACAGGTGTCAGAACGTTAAAAATTTTGACCGTTGGGCAAAGACCTGTACCGGATCGTCCGGCACGCCACCAGACCGTCCGGTAGCTCAAAAAAATAGATTTTGCCTTGAATGATTTTATTTTGAGCTCCCGAGATTTCTTTGCTAAATATTAAAATGTTATACCATTACATATAAATTCAAGAGTTCTAATATAGTTTTCTTCAATATGCTCGATCATCAAAGTTTATGACTTCGATCTTGATTCCTCTTGACATTGACATTCGTTTTGTTCTTCATGAGTGCATTTATCTTGTCCTATACATGAATCTTCATTTTGATGCGATGGTCAATTTGATTTCAACTATCATGATTCAAAAGTAGGTTTGTTAAAACCAAAATTAAATCTTGCTTGTTATAATCAAAACATAGACGGAAGTCAACCATGTCAACATCATACTCTTTATGGCATTCAACAAATTCATATCAAGGTTTATAGTTTTTGTGATCACGGGATCAAGATTTTGTTTGCGATTATCTTAGTTCTTTGATTCTATAGATTATTGGGTCAAGCTTCAAATAAGGATTTTAGCTTTCTTGGGGTTGTGATTCAATCTTTTATGGATTTCAGAGCTACTATTGTTACGTGAGTTTGAACCACTTTCAAACTTTTTAAAGTGTTAGAATACATATATAACTATATTAGATTATATTTTTTTTGCCACCTAATCCTTTAAATAGCACGTTAGAAATCACTGATGTTGCAACATTATTTCAGCCATTGTTTGGTTCAGCTACAATGTTAGATTAAAATTTAAGTCCAAGTTAACAATTAATTTTATTATATATTTCATAGGATAAACAATTTTCCAACTCTACATTCCATCAACTTTAATTAGAATAACTTTTACTAAACCAAACAAGGGTTTAATGTCTTCATAAGCCAAAAGTCTCATCCTAAGTTTGTTTTATGTTTATTTTCCCTATTAATAATAAAGCATCTTGGAGTTAAAAAGAAAAATTTACAAAAGCGCCTAAAAGTAACATTTGCTTAATTTTTGTTCAAGGGTTTAACATGTGTATAAATTTACAAAATGGATAACGATGAGATTTGATCTCAAGAATTTTCTTCGTTCTTCTTGTTAGCTTGATGCCCATTATTCGAGTAACGTTCAGTAAAATCACATTATGAATTGACGTTCGTTTATTTGCGTGTTATAATTTGAAGTGATTATCTAAGGTTCGATGATCATATAGGATGTCACAAATTGTATACTCGATGGATCAGGTATAATAAGACACAATTCGTGATGTAATCAAAATTATGTCGTTCATAATCGGTTTATAAAGTTTGGCGCTTTATGTTGATAAGATTGTATTATTCTTATTAAGATTTGTCTAGATCTTGAAATAGGAACAATAATGTGTTTCGATACACATTGAACGGGATCGTGTAGATAATTCATTTGTGACCGTTCGAAATGAGACTCTACTTGATTATCAAAAGGTCACATAAATCCTAAGTGAGTAATGTAATTGCTAGTTCACGTTTTTTGCGGTACCAATGAGTGAAGTCTTAAATAGAAGATTGATCTCGGTGCTTTGGGAATCGGGCCGAAATAATTAGAGATCATATACTTACAATAGTGGAATCCATTAATCATTGAGATGAGACGATCGTCACTCTAAGGTATTTTCCTAGGCAAATTGAATATGAGCTTAGTAGGTCGACGATGAGATCGTTAGACTTTACATTGTGATTTGATCACAATGAATTTGCCATATGAAAATGGGACTTACAGGGTAATACATGTTGAAAGGCAAAAATGTCATTTTGCCAGTTTCAACATATTGGCAGTTAAATGGGGGTTAACTTGTTAAAAGATAATTAGAGGATATTGTTATTGGATCATAATTTGCTTCTATAATTATCACTCGAATCGAGAGTGCAATCTCTATTTTTTGGTAGAATAAGCCGGGAGAGATTAATAGATGTATTTCAATTGGTCAAGAGTTGACCCAATTGGAAACATTTATTGGAGCTTGGGTCATATGAGTCCGGTTGGGTCCCTCTCTTGACTCCAATAAAAGGTATGTGACTTAATTGGTCTACTACAATAAAATTCAAGGAAATTTGTGCAATTTTCAAACCCCAATAGTGCACTATAAATATGCACTTTATTGGCATATTTTATAAGAGAATTAGGATTAGCCACTTTTCTCTTTCTTGAAAAGGAAATACACTTAGTGGAGAAAAATGGAGAAGATCTAAGGGAGGAAGCAATTGGCTAGGCCATTAAAAGCTCCTTCAAAAGGTTATCATCTCCCTTTTCTATGTGTGAGGATTTTTATAATACAATGATCTCAAGGTTACTAAAATCCTTATTTACATTGTTTTAATCTTCAAAGGAAAATTAACTTCCTATTGTGATGTTTAAAATCCATCAAGCAACAAATGATATCAGAGTCAAGGTTATTGTAAGCCTTGAGTATGATTAATTTTTTTTTTAAATCCTAGTGTAATATGCATTTTAGTTGGGTGGTGTTAGATTATTTGATTTTGACATGTTTATGCTTTAAATATATTTAAAGTTATTGTTGATACATTCATAATCACTTTTGGCCCTAGAATTTCTTTTTACTTCCTATTGTAATTCATTTGTTATAGTTATTCTCTAGAAATATTGTAAGCAATAAGGCACTAAGATTTTTGTATTTTTTCTTCATTTTCACACTTGTATTTTGAGGAAGAAATGTAATATTTGTTGCTGTATTTTCAATGAAG